TACCTTTCTACCATTAATTTTAACACCTCATAAATCATTGCTTTAAATGTATTTTCCTGTTCTTTCTTCCTCGCATTATCTTGCCTGTACAGCCACACTGGCATTGTCACCTTCAGAGGTATGTTTTTAAGGTCTATTTCTTATCCTATCCAAATGCTTTTTGAGCTTTATTCCCTCCTTCTTCTGCTGTTCATTGAAGAAAATGTAGTGTTGGTATTTGTGCCAGCTCTCCAAATCTGGGCAGCCATATTGTGGTGGTGGTGGTGGTGTCATTCATCTCAAAATAGTATATCTAAAAACATTTATTTTCTGATGTTATAGAAACATGACTGCTTTCTTCCACAAGTAGTTTGCAGAGTGTGTTTGGGACACTTTGCTTTTATAATTCCCCTTGCTTTCATAATTTTTGTTTTGTTTTGTGTAAGGTGGAAGTTACATACACTCACATCTTTCTTCATTCCCCTGTATTCAACAGTTTAGCAGTGACTTTTATACCTGAGCAAGAACTGAGAATATGATTTGGAGGAATAGCTAATAAATATAATAATATCTAATAGAGGCTGCTGTCACATCCAGCAGCACTACATGTCCAGCACCCCAATAGTTATTGCTCCTGTTATGACTCTTCAAGGTTATCATAGGGCATTTTTAGAGGATGGGGAGAGAGAAAGAGAGAGGGAGAGAGAGCTCTGTTCATTATAGAAAAGGAAGCTGGGCTGGCAGTTCAATTTTACTTCACCACTGGCCATCCCTGATCACAGCAGGGTAGCTTAGGTGACAATACAGTACAGAATCTGTGGCATCCAGAACTCTGTCCTACAGCAGATGGTGATGTCCAAGAGAGTTCAGGGGGAAAAATTCTGAGGGCCGCCCCAGCTTCCTCCCACTGTTGGCTGCCTGAGATATTTGACTCAGTTTGTCCCCTTGTAGATAAATTAACAATGACAGTGACAACAACAATGATTACTACTGATACCTGCTACTGCATTGGGCAGGGAGCTGGACTTGATGGCCTTATAGGTCCCTTCCAACTTCATTATTCTATGCTTCTAACATTTGTATAGTTATTCTGACAGCTGAAGGTGAGTTTAGGCAAATGCCCATGGCTCTCTTTCTCCTCACACCTATCTCACATAGGTCAGATTAATCATGTATGACTGACTCTAGGCCAGTGGTTCTTAACCTTTATTACTCGTGTCTACTCGGGGCGGCTGAGGAGTGCCTTGTCTGGGACTGTCTAGTGAATGCTTCTGGGAGTTGCAGTCCAAAACTGAGTAACCCAAGGTTAAGACCCAGTGCTCTAGGCCACTTAGTGAATTTTATGATTAGGTGAGTATTTGAAAACAGATCTCCCAGGCCTTGTCCAGCACTCTAGCTGCTACACCACAGTGGTTCCAATTATAATTCTTAATTGAGACCTTGGAAGGTAAATCAGTGTTATTATCCCACATATTGCAAAAGCTGAGGAGTGCCTTGTCTGGGACTGTCTATTGAGTTCAGGACAGAGGAAAGATTCAAAGAGATTTCCACCAAGAGCTGATCCAAGATAATTTAGTCTCTGAAGCAAAGAAGAAGATGCCGCACCAATAACACTTGATGTGTAGCAGCAACAGGATTGTCAGTCGAACCTTCAACAATGATACTGAAACAGTGTCATCTGCAATGCTTGAAGGCAGCAAGCAGACATAGGGGCACAGGATAAGCTATGTGTCAGGCATAGCTCTGCCTTCCAGGACTTCATTGCCATTCCCCACTCTCAGTATCTGCTTGCAGAGGCAAATGCCTCACTCCACCTAATGGCGGGGCTAATCCTGTCATCTGATTTGTAGCTCTTTAGCTACTACATTACCATGATTGCAAGTACCAATAGAATCTAAAAACAAAACACAACAGCCAAAGAAGGGTTCTTGTCGCACCTTTAAGCTTAGGAGGTTTATTTTAGCATGATGTTTCTAGATTGCAATCCATTTTGTCAGATGCCTGAGCATAATCTTGAAAACTCAAGTATAACTGTGCTACGGTCTTAGGAGCATAGCTTTCGCTTATTTTGTTCTCACAGGTGAGTTTGGAAGGGGTGGAGATGGAAAGGAGATAATCTTGAAAACTCAAGTATAACTGTGCTACGGTCTAGGAGCATAGTTTTTCGCTAGGAGAGGAGTTTGGAAGGGATGGAGATGGAAAGGAGTAAAAAAAAAATTAAACGAAGAGTTTTGATTTCCAGAAAATGTTTGTTTTTACTAAGTATATTTCATGCCTGAAGCTTGACAGCTGTGCCCCATGTATCTGAGGAAGTGGATTGTAATATATAAAACTATTGCTGAAATAAATATATTACTTGTAAAGGTGCCATATTAGTCTTTTATACTAAAAGGGGTGGCAGCTACTTTGAAAACTGCTATTGTCAGAAGCTTTTCCATATACCAAACTTTTATTTGCTTATGGGGAGCCCATGAAATTTAAGTGATTTTAGGGCTGAAAGTCACCTAAGATACCATACCTATTAATTGTTATTGTTCAGTCAACCACCATCAAGATAAACAACAGTGATATACAAGTCATAATCTTATTTAGTTATGCTGGAGTATCACAAATGGCCTAACTTTGAAGGTGAATTGCTTCCAAATTGCTGTAGACATTACCAGTTGCATACTGGGTTTCCTAACTCACCTCGCAACTGATGATCTCTACGATGATTTCTTAACTTGACACAATTTGCCTACAAAAGTTACAGCACTTGCATAGCTAAACAAGAGAATTTTGGCCAAATATATAAAATAAAATGAAACTTAGGAAACTGATTGATGTGGTCTAAGAATTAGTACATGAATCACTTTAAAAGCTAACTAATTGAAAATCCATAGTTGGGTGATAATGGGTTCTCCTATGTTTTCAGCTACCATAAAGCAAAATTAGTTATCTGACATTTGTTAGTTTTCCAAGAACCATTGCATGTGCTTCCAGAATATCACTTAACAATAATAAATAATTGTTCTTCTGGTGTAAATTTGCAGGCTACAAAAAGCATCATAGGTTTATAACGCTCTTCATCTAACAGATGAAGTTATGTGTAGAATAGGGCATCCACATACTGGAATTCTCACATCTCTCTGGCAGACACAGTTAAGCCACTCCTAATAGGTACAGTAACATAAGAGCAACACAGGTCATCTTGCCCTGGTTTTCTGAGGTCTTCACTTGATTAACCTTTGTGAGCAAACGGGATAACTAGAGACAAAGGGTACTCCAGATGGCAGTGATGCCATGTTCCTTGGTATCGGCTAAATTAAAAGCCAAGCCAGGTCAGTAAAATGAATTAAAAATAGTGAGGTACCATTGCCCTGTGGTATAAGATGGAGGGCCATCGGGGGTCCCTACACATCAGTCAGCCAGTTGGGGAAAGGTGGTGCAAGTGAGTGAGCTCACAAATGGGCCCAGGATAAGTCCAAATTTGCCATTCCTATCATAGGAAGAGAGTTTAAGTACCTGGGCGTCTTTTTTCATTATCGACACTCCTGGACAACTCACCAACGGGCAGCGATTAAGTCTGCTAAGCTCTCGGCACAGGCTATCTTACGTTTCCACCATACGTGGGGCCACTCTTACATCCCTGCTGCGCTGCAGATTTTCAATGCCAAATCAGCTACAGTCAGCCAGTTGGGGAAAGGTGGTGCAAGTGAGTGAGCTCACAAATGGGCCCAGGATAAGTCCAAATTTGCCATTCCTATCATAGGAAGATCCCAGGGGACTTAATGGGTGGGCATTGTTCGAAGATGGAAATTAAACATTCCCAAACAAAAGTGTTGAGCATCATTTAACCACATCCTCGTCTTTCCTAAACCCATCCTGTTTCCTGTCTGATCCTCCAAAATACTTTAATCAGAAACTAACCCTATAAGCATCATTTAACCACATCTTTCCTAAACCATCCTGTTTCCTGTCTGATCCTCGAAAATACTTTAATCAGAAACTAACCCTATACCTACACACACACACACGGACATTTATGTACTCGGGAGATCAGGTGGGGAAGTGCCTGAATTTGGTGTAAGAGTGTTGGGGACAGTATGACCACCAGGATCCTGGAAATCTGTAATTTTAAAAAGGTAACTATTCCAAACTTGGTACTGTGCCTAAGCCCCAGCTTATCCTTTCATTTCTCTTCATTTATGAACTATCTTTCGTCCATATATTTTTCCTATCACTACCATGCCATAGAAGCATTTTTCCTAGAGGAGACACAGTAATACTTTGCATTTTAATGGAATGTTTGTTGCCAAACACACATTCAGTGCCATGAATGATGACCTAAGCAGCTCTTACAACAACCCAGTCCTTAGTATTACACTGGGGCATCTACTGTTATACTAGCAGCTTTCTTAAAGCCATTTAATGAGTTCATGCCTCAGGTAAGATGTGAACCGGGGACTTCCCTGCTCATGCAAAAGCCATAAACTGGATCTCAGATACCAGCTTGATCTCAAATGACTAGACTCTGCAACAGTTGTTTTGCTGCTCAAGGTGATCTGAAAGATTCCATTCACTTTATGAAGAGTTAGTTAGTATACATGTAGATGCCTGTAGAACTCTTACCCTGCTTATCTTTTTTAGATAGTGATTAGTTACATTACATCAGCTTGGATTTCTGAACTGTTCAGCCCACCATGCCACCCTGAATACCCCTGGTTTTGTCTGATTACAAAAGCTAAGGAGGATCAGGCTAGGGCTTTGCGGGAAGAGTTAAGACAGACTCTTGTCTGAAACCATGGAGATCCCCTGCCAATCAGAGTTGACAACACTAGTGTTGATAAACAAATGATCTGATTCAATAGAAGGCAATCTCATATGTTCATTTCCCCTCCCCATGTGCTGCCTGGTCAAAATGGCGGTGACATAGTACTATCATGCAACAGTCCAATACAATGCCTAAGAAGACAGAGAACAGGACTGTTGCTTAGGTTTGTTGTAACACTGCATCATTTTGATGATTTATTTTGTTCTAGGATGACAGGCTGGAGCATTGGCACAGTAAAGCTTGCAAATGTGATTGTCAGGGAAGTCCCAACTCGGTTTGGTCCACAGGTACAAACAATCTGGAATGCATGCCAGGTAAGGACACTGACTGACTGACTTAGGCTTATATCTAAACCCATCTATTCCCAAGGACTCAGAAACTCCAACTTGGAGCTATTAAATTCCACTATTTGCAAAATATTTTTTATACTAAATGTAGGGTTTTTTTTAAAAAAAATGACAATTATGTAATTTTTGACAAAAACTTGGGATAGTAGCAGTTGTCAGGAAAGGAAAAGTATCACCTTAAAATATCAGGAGACCTTTATTCTGGAGGAATTGTATAAGCTTAACTAGCCGTTGTATAAGCCTGACTTGCGTGGGGAAAGCCATTTTCATGTCTAGGGCACTCATATATTTTTAAGTGCACTGGTAACAGCATTAAATAATTTACGTGACTTGGTCTGACAGCTCTCAGTTTGTTTTATAATTTCTTTTTCTACGACGGTTTTCTAGAACAGAAGGTTATCTCCTAACTGTAGCATGACTGTGTTATCTAAATATTAGTGTTACTAAAAATAAAACTCATATTTCTTGTAAACACTGCAGCCTGCCACATGGTAGGCGATTCAGCTCATTTTTGCTTTTCATTTTTGTAACACTTCTGCATGCAATTTCCATGATGATGCTGGTTTCAAAATATGCCTTTGCTAATGAAACCACTGCAGTCTTCCAAGCAGCATCTGAGATGAATGGCTGGAACACAACAAGAGAGCAGTCCAGACATCAGAAAAGGTACTTTTGGATTACGGCTCTGAGAATCGACAGCCGGTAGTCCAAGAAGTACCTTCTTAAAGTCTCAGGACTGTAGCCAGCCATGACTCCAACAGTGGCCTCCCATACTGTGGAAGTAATTGTGTTTATCTTCCACTAGAATTTTTAAGAATAAGCTGACTATATTATGACATTAGACTCATACTTCGAAACAGAAGGAAAGCAGGGTACTAAAATGTGAAATCACAGAAAAAGCTTGGACAAATAGGGAAGGATGGTGCTGCTTCCATCTATAGTGAGAATTTTTAAAGGATCAATTAATAAAGAGACTTTCTTCCCACAGATTTGTGTAGGTACAACCCAAATACTATCATACTGGGAAAGAGCTCAGTGAACCAAACTAACAGATGCAGAACTACAGCTATCTAATGCATTTTTGTTCTTTAAATATAAGTATTTTATGAAGTCCCTTCCCATTTCTTTTATCCTCTCAAACTCGCCCTTTCTCCACAAGACTAAACATCCACTCATCCACAAAGAGAGAATAAAGAAATAAACCTGTCTTTGAATGCTTCATCTATTTTATTAGTAAAATATTAGTAATATTTTATTAGTAAAATAAAATAAATATAAAAAATAAAAAACAGACAGAAGTTTATTAGTAAAATAAAGTGTCAGTAGCATGCTCTGTAGCAGATAGCACAGTGCAATAGTTACCATATTTGGGTCTTCAGGGAAGCTCCAGACAGAGTGCTCAGAAATGAGGGATTCTGGGAACTCCAGTTTGAGCATCCGGGAACCAAACATTAGGAGCTGCTGGTTCAGACAGATCCAAAAAGCTCAGCTTTTCTCTTGTCATGTTTGTTTTTCCAAAATTTGTCTTCTGCCCTTTTCTTGTTTTCTTTTTTTTCTTCATGCTGCTGTTGCTGCTGCTGTTGCTGTTACTCTAGAATGCCCCTATCATAAGCCACTTGGTTTTGAGTCGGGAGCTGTAACTTCAGACCAGATCAGCTGTTCCAACCCAGAGCAGTACACAGGGTGGTACACTTCATGGACTGCAAACAAGGCACGGCTTAATGGGCAAGGCTTTGGGTAAGAGTGGCATGTCATTCCTCTGTTTCAATAGAAGCCTTCCACCAATAAAGAGTCAGCCAGACATTGCCTAAAATAAACACTTTAACATTTGCTTAACCATCTCTACTCCTACATCCCACCTGGGTATTGTGCTGAGACACTTGGCTGTACTGCCCTCACTGCTATGTCTTCCCCTCTCTGGGTCATTGACCACTTGTTCGTTCTCTTAGGTACACTCTCTTAGGTATTGACACATTCATTATGCATAACTCAGACATACCACATTATGGTGCTAAGGGACAAAGCCACAACACAGCAAATACACTCAGCTGAAGGATAGTATACACGCCTTTTAAATAAAACTATATATACAATAGGTGTATCTCCTGTGGATTCAGATCTGCTTCTGCTTGAGCAGTTTACATCACAGTGCTCATCACCTGAACTGATTTTGGGTGCCTTTTGATGGGTATGAGGCTATGGATTCATAGCAAGATATATCTGTTGCTCCGTGAAACTAGTTGACTTCAGCTAGAGCTGATCAGAACCATGAGCAGAATTAATTGCAAATATTGAGTTAAGTGTAGTTCAGTTATCGTAATGATTGTTTACTACACTTTTGCCAAATTGATCCAAATAACATCATGCTGTACATGTAGCATCCTTTAAGTAAGTGCAGGTTGGTAGATGACACTGTCTCGTACCACTCAAACCCTAGCCAGCATGGTCAGTGGTCAGGGATGATAGACGTTGTAGCCCAGCAACACTTGGTATACTACAGATTGTCCACCCATGTCCTAACCATAGACCCACATGTACGAGCCCTAATCATCATCATCATCATCATCATCATCATTATCTCAGTCATCCGGGTGAGGTTATCTGGAAGTTGAGTTGTGGCAACTGGACTTCTTTCTTATTAGGTTGAAATGTTTCACTACTCATCCAAGTAGCTTCTTCAGTCTGAGGAGAGTTGGTAGGAGACCCCTGATATATCCTCCACATTGGTTTCATTTCCGCATGGACAAAGGAATGGGGGGGTGAGTGAAAATCCCATCTCTGCAGTCCTTCTCCCCTCATTGTCATGAGTCGTTCACAGTGGTCTTTCTGGTGGGTGTGGTCCTGATCTTTCTATGGACAAAGGAAAGGGCAGCATGTTAAATAGGAGACAGATTGTATCTAAGGCCACCACCCCTGTTGAGTGCAGGTTTTTCTATATGCACATGTATGACCTCCCTAACCCTTCTCTCAGACTATCTTCTTAGTCCAAAATGAGTACATCTTGGTAATCAAATGTTCTTTGTCCTTCAAATGAAGGTGGAGAAGGACTGCAGGGGTGCGATTTTCACTCACCCCCAGTCCTTTGTCCATCTAATGAGCCTATTCAGACCAGGGGGAAGTGAAACCAACATGGAGGATATATCAGGGGTCTCCTACCAACACTCCTCAGACTGAAGAAAGAAATCCAGTTACCAGTACTCAACTTCCAAATCTTCATAATCATCATTATCATCTTAGAACTGCAGAGCTGGAAGGGACCCTTTTAGAGATGGGCACAAACTGCCAGTTTGGTAGTTTGGTGCTGCTTGTTTAGCATCTCCACTGGTGTTCGACAGTTCAGCGCTCTACCCACTCCAGTGGGTGCCCACTCAGAAGCTTCCCTGCCCTGGCTCCTCCAAGTGCTCCCTTTGAGTTGGCGCACATCAGAAGGGGCAGGGCACCAAACCACAGAACTTCTGTGGGGCTGGTAAACAAACTGCACAGAACCAACAAACCAACAGTTTGTGCCCATTTCTAGACTTTATGGGTCACTGAATCTAGCCCCTGTCAATGAGGCACAGTGGGGAATCACACTCCCAACCTCTGGCTCAAGAGTCAGATACTTAAACCATTGAGCTACAAAATACTTGGGAAGTTTATCTTATTCACCAAAAACAGTTAATAGGTACAGAAAAGTTTATGAATTTCTGTGACTCTGTCTTGTAACTCTTACAGGTGTGCCTGGCTCTCCAAATATCAAGACACAAACCAATGGCTACAGATTGACTTGAAGGAAGTCAAAGTTATTTCAGGGATCCTCACACAGGGACGGTGTGATGCAGATGAATGGATGACAAAGTACAGTGTACAATACAGGACTGACGAGAACTTAAACTGGGTGTATTACAAGGACCAGACAGGGAACAACAGGGTCAGTATGGGACACATTTTGGTGAAGATGCCACCATATTTGCATTCATTTGCAGTAAAGTGGTATTTAGTCATAATGGCAACCAGTTTACAAAATCAATAGTATCCATTGGCTGAAATCCTATTGCCTAACACAGTTACGTTGGACCAGAGTAGAGATATTGAATCATTACTGAGCTAAGCAACAGGATTTCAGCCACTAGTTTCATAACTTGGTAAATTCAGTTTGAGAGTACAATCATCCCATTGCTTTATTAAACTGAATGGGCAAACGATAGGTGTATATTATTTTTCTTCTAAATAAAATTGAATAATTAGGATAATTTACTACAAATTTGAAGGAATGTGGTGGCGCTGCAGATTAGACCGCAGAAGCCCCTCTGTGCAAGGTTGGAAGACCAGGTGTCGTAAGATCGAATCCACGCAACGGGGCGAGCTCCCATTGCTTGTCCCAGCTCCTGCCAACCTAGCAGTTCGAAAGCATGTAAAAATGTGAGTAGATAAATAGGTACCACCACATTGGGAAGGTAATGGCGTTCTGTGTCTAGTCACGCTGGCCACATAACCACGGAAACTGTCTTTGGACAAATGCTAGCTCTACGGCTTGGAAATGGGGATGAGCACTGCGCCCTAGAGTCGGACATGACTGGACTAAATGTCAAGGGGAACCTTTACCTTTACTTTACTACAAATTTACAGGATTTTTAATCAATGAAGAGGATAAAAAAGTAAGTGAGAATTAGAATAAGTTATGATTCTAGTAGTATATTATCCTAAGAGAATTATTAAGTAAATAGTAGCTGGTGATAGTAGTGAGAATGTATAGAGAAATGTACTTAATAGATCAGGATAAGATGGTGATATTATTTAAATAGAGTGGATTAGGAAGAGATAGATTAAGAATAAGAATGAGGATGCTCAGATAGGATGAATTTATTATCCTAATATGTAGGGGATAGAAGCTAAAATACAGTAATACAATCACTTTAGATGCTGAGAGAAATAGGGATACAAGAAATAAAGATGTAAGATTGGGGAGCTATGAGCAGCTGCTAGCCTGAAAACAGTTGGTGGTTCCTCTCCCTGCTGAGAGTTTGGGATCAGTTTATCATTGGAGTATCAGAACCCTGGTGATTAAGGGGGAAGAAAGTTATGTGTTGGGGTTGTGGGGATTTTCACAACATGGGACCAGAAACAAATATGGTTAAAAGTTTTAGAATATCAACTTTAAACATGAAAGGCCTGCAGAGCATTTCGAAAAGGAAAAGAATAGAGGTATTGTCAAATAAATATAAAGTGGATGTAATATTTTTTACAAGAAACTCATCAAACAAAAAAAGGTGTACAGTGGTGCCTCGCTTAACGATTTTAATTGGTTCTGGAACAAACATCGCTATGGGAAAACATCGCTAAGCGAAACGCGTTTTCCCATAGAGATGCATTGAAAACTGGATAATCCATTCCAATGGGAACGGATTGCCGTCCTTAAAGCGAAAATCGCCATAGGAAACATCGCTAAGCGAAACACGGTTCCCCCATTGGAATGCATTGAAACCTTTTCAATGCATTTCAATGGGGGAGAAAAAAATCACCAAAAATTCAAAAACTGTCAGAACGAAGCCAAATTTGGTTAACAAAAGGTTTATTAAGTGCACTGACAATTTAAAGCACTCTAAACCCTTTTTAAACAATTTAACACCTTTTAAAAATAGCGAAAACGGAGCTGTCAAAAACATGCCTAAGTGAAACAGGGGGAGCAAAACTGTGATCACTAAGCGAAGCAAGGTCCCGAACATTGCTATGCAAAATTCCCCCATTGGAAACATTTCTCAACGGAGCGCAAGATCGGTCCTAAAACCTCATCGCTAAGCGAATACACCATTAAATGAGGCAATTGCTAAGCGAGGCACCACTGTAAATGATTTCAAATTGAATTGGTCTGGTATATATATAAAAAAAGTTACAGAAATTGAAGGCCAAGAAGGGTTGCAACCATTATTTCAAAGGAATGTGACTTTAAAGTGAATAAAATGAAAAAAGATAATAAAGGTCGACATATAATGATACAAGAAGTAGGTGGGAGGAGAAGAATATACTTTCAGCAAAATAATAATAGTAGCTAAAATAGAAAAAGAAATGATGGAAATATGGGAAATTACAAAAAGGGTTGCAGCAAGGAATGGTTATTGTGAGGTGCTGATGAGAGGAATTAGTATTAGGGAATCACATAATCTAAGAATGCAACAAGAAAAACATGAAAAAGGTTGAGAAAGTAATATTATTGGAGGGTAAATATATACTACTGTGTTTCCCCGATAATAAGACACTGTCTTATTATTTTTCGGGGAAAGAAAAACACCAGAGGGCTTATTTTCAGGGGAGGGTTTATTTTAATGAACATTGACAGCACTCATCTCGCCCTTGTTGGTCCTTCGGAAGCCGGCCGGAGGGTGAGGTGGGCGGGGGGGAGGAAGGAATCTCCTGCCGCCCTTGCTCGCTATGGGAAGCCGGGAATTCCTCTTGCGGAGCCGGCCGGCTTCTGCTGCTGCTGCTGCTGTTGCTCCCAGGAGCTGGAAGGCTGGCCCCG